AGAGAGAGAGAGAGAGAGAGAGAGAGAGAGAGAAGGAGAGAGAGAGGGGGAGGGAGGGAAGTTGGGGAGGGGTAGGGAAGGGAAAGAGAAGAAAGGGAAAGGCCTATTGCTTATTTCCATTTGCTCTTTCAATAGAATAGCCCACTGCCTTGTAATCTTAGCTGTGAGAATCGGGGACTTTCTTTGTTACATATATTGAGATTCAAAGGCAAACACCTCTTCCACCCTGACAAATGAATGACACATTAAGAGATCAAAGAGCATGACAAAGACACTTACAAGTGATTAAGTCCGGGTAAAGTACAGCAGCAATCTTTATGAACCGTAATAACATCTACCAGTTGCATCTAGACATACTAATATTATTCCAAAGATGAATTAACTACAAATTATTACCAAAGAATACCGGGAAAGCAAATGTTCTGTTAATGGATACAGCTCAGCTGAAGCTGAGTCAAGCACATCGTCGCGTCAGAAATATTTTGTCAATTCTTAATTTAATTATTATTATTTTTTTAAATTATTATTTTTTTTTGGGGGGGGGGCAGATCTATGACTGTAAACAACGTTAACAGAGACCAGCTGAGGAGAGAAGGAAAACACAGGACACTGCGTAGTTGATCTAAAAACAGTCTGGCAAAACTATCTGGTTAAGTAGCTCTGGACAGAATAAAACTAATACATAGTAACAATAAAATATGATAATATTGTTGGTGTAATATGACCAGCAGCAAGCAACAAAAGGAAAAGTGCTGCGTTAAAAAATAACATTTGAATCTAACTAAACTCAATTCAGGAACAACTTTTATAACACATCTATTAAAAAAGAATGTAAAATACATCTAGTTACAAATAGAAAGACAAAGGCACTCACGTCGTTTATAATTCAAGCTCCTAATTTTAACGAATTCTTTAGGCTGTCACAAACAGATGCAAACAGGTCCATTACATTTTAAAAATCTCGATCTTAACGAAGCAGCGGTTTTAGAAATGGTTTTAAGGATAAAAGTGAAGGTTTGATCTATAAAGCAATGATTATTCATTCAGGCATACACACACACGCACACACACACTCATACATACATACAAGCAGACACATTTACACACTCTCGAACACACAAACACAAACACACACATAAGGACTTTTACACACACCACACAAACAAACTTACTCAAAGGAGAGAAAGACAGGTAAAACAGAAAAAGTGAGAGGAAAGGAGGGAGAATACGAAAGGAAAAGAGCGCAAGAGAATCTGAAAAGTGTGTGTATGTGTGTGTGTGTGTGTGTGTGTGTGTGTGT